AAAGAAATGAATAACCACTCTCAGTGTTAACAATGATATTGCTTTATTCAGTTATGTTTTCGATATTTGTTTTTACTTGGAATTTTCTGATGGCTATCATGGAAGTTCCTTTCTTTAAGGTCATTGATCATGTTTTTACTTGATCTCCTTTAAATGTCTGTATGGTTTTAAGTAATGCTTCATGCCTTCAATAACATGCATCTGTAAATGCTATTTTTTTATTATCTTTTAGCTCCAAATCATAGAGGGTGGCTTTATTATTGTCATTGTATTTCTTTTGTTGATATTATTGAAAATTATTAGAGCAAATTAGGTAACAGTGCTGTATCCAGTAGGTGGAACCGCATACTATGGCGATACTGCCCCCTTCAAGTGAGTTCGCACACAAAAATGATCTTTTCTGCAAGGTCTAATTTTCAAGTGAGAATGCAAAACTAAATGCACACAATTCAAGAAGATCAATGGCAGGAACGAATTGGATACGTATATCCATTGGATGGGACGACAACATAGAGTTCCTGAAAGTTCCTGGGGTTTTTTATTAGTTGCGTAAAACATGGAGTTAAGTAGAATTAATGTCTTTTCGTATTTGCTGTCAGCAATTACTCAATTAAAATGTATATGACAGATTTGTATATGAGTAATTTTGTATAAAAAAATGTCCACGGAACTTCATAAGCAGGGATTCACCAATTGGTGTTCTCCCTTTATATACTAGTATTTAGTATAGATATAATGAGGTATTGTTTGTACCCTTTTTGGTCTGCGGAGTGCAAACAAGTATCGAGGAATTATGAAATGGAATTGTCTGCCTTATGTAATTCTGGTTATCTTCCCTGGCATCGTCATATTATTTTGGTCTTGCAGCCATCCAAATTGTGAGACTAGGAAGTGGATAGTTTTGGGGGAAATAAGGGTTGGTATATTTGTGGAGCAAGATATTTCCGTTGAAACTGAATTGGCATATGATTATAATGTTGAATGGCATGGTGGCGCTAAGGTTCGATGTCAGCGTTGGGCACCTAACTGTTCTAAATTTCTTGAGGCAAAGTCTCCTGCTTTTCTGGTGAGTTCAAAGTGATAACTTTTGAAGTCTATATTTGAAGATACATTAACATCTCATTTGGCATTCATTCTCCTGATGGAACTTGAGTGATGGGTAAAAAAAAAAAAACTGAAAATGAAAATACATTTTTTGTGTTTTCATTTTTTGGGCAAATTTATAAACTGAGACCACTGATTTATAAATCAAAAATTTACCAAACAAGTTTTTATTTGAGCTTTTTAAATTTTTATAAATATAAACAGAAAATTGAAAACGTAAGTGTTACCAAACGGTAAAAAACTGTATGAATAAATTTATTTTCATAAAAAAAACTAAAAATGAACCACAATAAAGTAAATGATAATGTGGATTTTTTTTTTTTTAATCACATTTCTAGTTTTTTAACTTTTCTAATAACCTTTTAAATTAGTTAAAATGAGTTTTTTTTTTTTTTTTTTTTTTGCGAGAAATAATTGTTGGTCAATAAACTTTTTTTTTTCTGTGTTCAACAACGTAAAAAATTTTAGCCAATAAATTCGTTTTTTGGCTACAATCAAACCAAGTCTAAAAAATAGCAATAAAAAACTTTTAATGCAAAGAGAATTTTTATGGAGTGAAGGAAAAAAAAAAATTGAAATAATATCTAAATGATGTTTTTTTTTTTCTTCTAAATGTTTTGTAATGAGAGCATCACAATGAGCAAACAATTTTATTTTATTTTATTTGTATTAAATATTATACAAACTTATGAAGTTTTCTTATTCATGGCATAATCAAAGTTTGTTATTTAAAATATGATTCACCTAAAAAAATATAGAAATAATTCATGTGAATGATTTTTTTTAATAAAATTTATTAATTTGTATAATAGTAATTAAATTTTATTTATTTAGAATTACACACATTAAAAATTAGAAAACTTTTGGGTAGAGATTGGGAGCCACGAATCATACTAGAAACTTGAAATTGCACTTTGATTCCTGCAATTAAGCACAAAATTGCGGCAATCAAATTGTGGAGTGCCCACCTGCATTTTTCGAGTGTTTGTTATGTGAAAGTGAAATTGATGATTGTGTTTGTGGTTGCTCTTTTTTATTTGTGCTTTTGTTTTTTCTTTGGTCAAACCTCAAAAAACCTTATGCGTGTGTTGTGTATCAACGTGCCCCTTTTAAAAACGTGTGAGCTTTCCTTCCTCACCCCTTCCATAAAGATGGACCAAAGCAAAATCTTGGGTCCACATCCAACTTTTGTTTTCTTGGCCCACACATGCCAATTTGTTAATTAATACTGTCTTTCTTTACTTGAATAGAAAATACTTTTATAATTTTTTTTATATTAATGAAAAACAAAAATTAATAAAAAAATAAATTTATTTAAGTGAAAAATATTTTTCACTTTTAAAAAATAATATTTTTTGAACTAAAATTTTATCAATCACATTATATTGCCATTACTACTATCACCTCCACCACCACATCTCCACTGCCATAGTTATCACATCTACAATCACTATCACCATCACCACCACCCCCAACCGTCACATCCCCACACCACCACTATCATTGTTACCTTCACCCCATCACAATTACCGCTGCCACCAATTTCAATATCATTTGCATACTTTGATAACAAATTTCAATATCACTTTTTTTGTGATTTATAGAAAAATGTAATAATTTATGATGTTGAAGTTAAAATCTTATTGTTAGATTTTTAATAGTATTTTTTTTTTCTCAACAAAATTCTTGTAAATATTGATTGACGACAATAATTCTAACAAAAAAACAAAAATAAAACAAAAAGGGCTCTCTTTTGTTCGGTCTCATCGCCCATCAGCACCAAGTTTTACTCGCACGCCAAAGAACGGTTGTTCACATACACTGCACAACTTTAATTTTCAAGTGCCAACAATACTAGATAATCACATAAAACAATTTTAATAAGAGATTGGATTTCCTCCGGTCGATGATCGGATTAGAAGGTGTTGTTAGACCTGTGAGGACTTATCACGAGTTTCGTTTTGATAATCCGAACCGTTTAATATGTAAAATTCATCGAGTACTATATGCCTGTAAAACATCTCGGATATCAATAGCTATTTTATCGGATCAGATTTCTATCAATCGTTTATTTTTTTACCGTTTATTTTTTTTTATACAAAACTGATTTGATTACGTAGATATCGATATCCGATCAATGTGATTTTTTATAGATATATAATAATCAACAAGTTCTACATATTAAAAGATTCAAATTATTAAAACGGAATCTATGATGAACCCTCACAGGACTAAACACCTTTCAATCTGATTATGAACGGACCGATCATTAACAGAAGGAAATCCAAACCTTTTAATAATATCTATTAAACAGTAAAATTGATCATAAAAGGTGGATAGTATGTTACATTACAACATGGTAACATCTATTATAGCAATATGATCATAATCACTCTGATGACTTGAACTTTAAATGTATAAACCTACGAGATATTGAATCAGCTGTCCTTTTCATTTATTAAACTTATTTTATCTATATTTTATGGTGGGTGCATTAGATGCCTATCAGTCATGATGTTTGTAGTGTTGGCTCATGATTTATTATAATATTAATTGTGATTTAATTATAATTTACATATATATATTATTATATTAATTATAATTTATTGTAATATTTAATATAATATTATTTTAATTACTATATAAAAAGTTTTATTTTTATTTTATGTGATGTTTGATTGACTCATTTTTCTTAATGATAACCCTAAATAAGTTTAATATGACATTTGTAATAATGACATATTTTGACAATTGAGTTAAAAGTTAAAAAACTTGAATCATATTTAACTTTTTATTTTTTCTTATGCAATTTAAAAAAAATAAAAAAATAAAAAAATTAACTTTTGACGTACCTAATAAATTAAACAAATGTCAGAGATGGTAATTTTATACGTCGGTAGACTTGCTGCCTTTGATTTGCTTGTCCATACTGCTAAAATTAACAAAAGAGATTGCGAGAACTAGCCGGGGTTCCTTTACGTTGTGTTTGATTAAAAATTTTGAAGAAAAATTTTAAAAGAAAAAAAATATATGTATAAAATTAAGTGTAATGTAAATATATTTTTTCATATTTCATCTATTTTTTTCATTTCTCTTTTCAAATTTCTTCTCAAATCCTCCAACTAAATACAGTATTAATTAATGACAAAGAAAGGAGCATTGGCTACCAATCATCTCTCTTTAGACAGGTGTTGTTTGGCATGAAAGTCATGTTAATTTTTTTTTGACTAAATTAATCATAAAAGAATAAAATAAATTAAAAAATTTAATAAAATAAAATATTATATTTAAATTATAATTATTTTATTTTTTCTCTTATAAAATTAAAAATAAATAAATCAATCAATCTAAACAAACATTTCAATCAAAATTAAAAGGATAAATTACAGTTATACCTCCTGAGGTTTGGGTTTAATACATATCACTCCCTGACATTTGAAAAATTATACTAACCTCCCTTGTCATTGTAATTATTTAGACATAATAAAATTATTAAATTCATACACTCTCTCTTTTCATGCTTTACTTTACTTCTTCTGTTTTTTTTTTTTTTTTTTTTTTCCTTTTCTTTACATATTTTTTCAATATAATTTTCTCTGTTTTTTTTTCTAAAAGTTGTTGAATTTTATATAAATATGAGGGTTTGTGAAATGAAACTATTAATTACAGAAGTAAAAACGTAATTTTCAGAACATCAAGAAATAAAATATAATTAGATTAAACCTCAAGAGATCAATATAATTCATCCAAATTAAAATAATCAAAAAAATAGACTAATTTACCGAGCCACACTAACCCCCAACCCAACACCATCATCATTCTCACCCTCCTCCATGTCCTCTCACCACCATCATCATAATAATCCCATAAGTTAAAGAAAAAAGCTCTTTTCTCACTCACTCACACTCACGCTCACACTCACACTCACACTCACACTCCTAAAACTTAAAAGTTCAGAGAGAGGAGATAGGAGAGAGGGAGGGGGTAAAGCGCAGTCACAAAACTTCTTCAACAGAATTGAAGTACCAAATCCAAAACCCACATTTTCTCCTAAACTTCTGAGCCTTCTCTCTCTCTCTCTCTCTCCGCTGAAAACTATGGCCCAAACTCCAGAGCCAGCTCCGGCGACCGAAATTGGCTCCGACACCAAGAAGATCGTCAATCCCAGAGCTGAAATCGATACGTCACCTCCATTCGGGTCGGTTAAAGAGGCCGTGACCCGTTTCGAAGGCAGCGCCTCTTGGATCCCCCATCACCTGCTCCGACTTGCTGCTCAGGTAACTTCAACTCTTTTTCCTTGTTTAATACTACTATTTTTTGCTTTCATTTTTCAGCTCCTTTTTTTTTAATATTAATTTCTAACATTTCCTTAGTCCTGCTTTTATTTTGAAGTTCAATGTTAAATTTTTAATAATGTGAGGCATCATAAAAAAATATGAAGCAAGATTAAGAGTGGATACCCCTTATCATTAAAGAAAAAAATAATATAATTTTATATTTTGCGAGTCATAATTAAAAAAATATAATAATCATGACTAAACAATAAACGAGACATAAGTAAAATGTCATTTAGAAAAAAATTAATCATAACTAAATTAATTAAAAAAGAAAATGATATAATTTAGGGATGCATACAGGGGTGTGCATGGTAGAATTTTCCATCATTAAAAGGTTTCATGTAGATTCTCCATTAGATTAGTTGTAGTGTTTTATTGTAAGTTATGTAATAATTTTGGATTAGTTTCTTAAAATATTTCATGTTATTTATTTTATAATTCGTAACATTACTCTTAGATTTTATGTGTATAGTTATTGTGTTACACATTATCATGAATATATTGCCCATTTTGATATAGTTTTCCAAATTTTCTAGTATTTCCTAAAATATGTAATTTTAGAAAACTTCGAATAAATCAAGAATGGTTTGTCAAATTAGTTTTCCCTAGTTTTCTTTTGATCTGATTCTTGGTAATAATGACTAAATTGCATTTTTTTTTTTACTTATCTATTTTTATCTAGTTTGAATACCCTTGGTAAATTATAAGTAGAATTTTTCCACTAGATCTTTTTGGAAATGATATCCAAAATTGAACTGAAAACTTTTATTAGTTGTACATGGAACTAGAATTAATTTTCTCAAATATTGTGTTTGACAGCGTAGAATGCCTTGGATTCGTAGTATTTGAAGATCATCTTGGTTCAAAATTCCAAGATGGTCTCCGGTTCTAATTCCAAGGCATGGATTCTCAGCCGCCAAACACAAAATAAGATAATTTTATTCACGATTCCACAATGGATACATATTTACTTTTCTTATAAACATCATATAATCTCTACTCTTAAGTAGTGATCGATGATTCTTATAATATTCTTTGCAATAACATTAAATCTATGTGCAGCATGGCATTGAGTACGATTTAGACAAAGTGGAGGAGCAAGCATCGGAGTTGGAGAAAGATCTTATTGTGAAAGAAATGGAAACACTCAATGTCTTAAAAGATCTTGAAGCCACAAAAAGATTCGTCGAAGGGTTAAAAGTGAAGTTGGTGAAAGAAGTGTCCGAGTGCGTGACACCTCCTGAGTTAAGCTCATCGCAAAGTTTGACCCTGTGCCCTGCTCCGTCTCCTGGTTTAATTGTAATGGAGCTAAATCAAGCAAAATTGAACTTGAACAAGAGTACAAACGATCTTGCAGCGATTCAAGCTTCTGTCGAGTCTTTGAATAACAAAATGAAAAAAGAGAAAGTTTCTATTGAGAAGCCCCCCGAGAAGGTACCAAATTGTGTTGGAGTGCTGTCCATGGAAGAGAAGCTTAATAGAGCGAGAGCGAAGCTGCAGTTAGTGAACAATGGGGAAATTAAAGGCAATTCTAAGAATTCAACCAATGTTTTGAGGAATTTCCAACAACTGAATTTCGAGGCTGACCAGTTCAAAAAAATAGCTGAAGCTGCGAAATACGAGGTAATGAAGGCAATGTCGGAGATTGAGCAAACGAAAACAAGTATTAATATGGTTGAGATGAGGTTGATTGCGGCAAGAAAGATGGAGGAGGCGGCTAGAGCAGTTGAAGACGTTGCTTTTGCTGAAATGAATGCTCAATCGTGCAGTGAGGGCGTAACTCTTTCATTTGAAGAGTACTCTTGTTTAGCCCAGAAAGCTCAAAAAGCTGACGAGATGTCTAAGAAGAGAGGTAGGGATGTCGTGTGTCGTATTGATGAATCAAATGTATCCGAAGTGGCTATTGTAAAGAAAGCAGAGGAAACAATGAAACAAGTTAAGCAGGGGAAAAAGTTTCAAGAAGAAGCTAAAATAGAGGCTGCAAGTAGAAGAAGCTTTGTCACGGAAGAGGCCTTCTTTGGTGGGAGAATGGAACAACACGGTGAAATAAGAGAACCGGGACACCACTCCATGTTCAAATTCAAAAATTCGTGTCCATCTTATGGTCATTGTGATTCTCACCTGCTCGATGGGAACAAATCAAACCTAATGAAAGAAAAAACCGTGCCTGTTTTAAGGTCAACAATTTCGATTGGTGATATTCTGAGCAGGAAGCTAATTCTGCAAGATGATTTCATGGTGGGAAGTCATGTGGAAGGTCACAATGAAAGACAACACGCATCTTTAAGTCAAATGCTTCGTGAACAAAGCGGGCTTATATTTCAACCTAAAAAGGGTGTGAAAGAGGGGATTGTTCACAAGCAATTCTTCTCGCAGAGAAAGAAGTTTGGATTCATCGACATTTCACTCCCCATGACAAAGCAAAGCAAGAAAAAGTCGCAGGCGCCAAACACGAGGTGACTTAGGTTGATAGAAGAATGATAATTGTTGCTGTTGTGAACCAACATTTTGCTTTTACTCATTGGTGTGTTTGTGTTTGTGTTTGATGCATGTTTTGTTCATGGCTTGAGATTTTGTTTCTAAGGGTGTGTTTGGTTGAGAGATTTGAGGAGATATTTAAAAATGAAAATGAAAAATATAGGTGAAATGTGAATAAAATATACTTACATTTCACCTAGTTTCACACATCTTTTCTTTTTTTCCTTTCAAATCTCTCTCCAAATCTTCTAACCAAACACATCGTAAATGTTTTCATTATTATTATTTTGTTGGGAACATAGTTTCTAAATGTTTTCATTGTAAAGGTGTTTTGTGATTTTACTGATTTATATATTGAATTGATTTCTACACCAAGGCTGTCTTAAAATTTCCAATTTCATTGCAACAAAATGATAAGTGAGAAGTGAGAGGAGACTGAAGCAGAATTGCCAACATGTCTGGGTACTTGTTTGGTGCTCTTATCCAATTCCAATTTTCACTTGGGCTCCGTTTGGAAAATAAATTTTTGCAACTTTTTTAGCTTTTGTTGTGGGCTCTTGTATTTTGACAAAGTTTGTTTGGTAAAGTTTTCAGCTTTTTTACTTTTTCTTACGAAACAACGAACTTCTTTCAAGCTGAATTTGGGATGCTTTTTCTTTAGCCAACTTTAAATATTACCAAACGTGGCCTTTTTATGTGCTATGCTTTACTCCAATTTATGGGCTCGTTGAAGAAAGATTTTTTTTTTAATAATGTTTTTAATTTATTTAATTTAATTAGTAAAAGAGAGAATAGAAGAATGGGAAACAAAATCTAGATATCATATTTGGTAAGAGAGCGTAATTCTTGTGTTTTGAATTTAAGCATCATATTTAAACTTCTCTCGTTAAAAAAAGAATTTTCATAATCAGTTGATGGGAGAATAGAAGAATGGGAAATTATATAGTGTAAAGATAAGACTTGAATTCAAACATCATATTTGATTAAACATATTATCTACTAGGCTAATAATCCCTTTGTATTGAATGAGAGAGAACAATAAAAATTGGTGTCCTCACTAGGAAAAGGAAGAGAAAGAAGGATGGAAATGTCCAATGTAGCTGGTTAAATAATAAAATTATAAAAAAAAATAAAAAAAACAAAAAACAAAACAAAACAAAAACAAATTTAAAAAGGAAGAAGCTACTTCTTCAAAAATAAGTAAATTTAGAGCACAAATCTTCTAAATGAGAAAGTGACATCCTTTTGTCCTTGGCACATAAGTTCTCCTCAATTGGTCAAATTTTTAGGCGTCATTTTTGTTTCACCACTTTAAAAGTTTGAGATCTAGAATTCAAATTTGACCTAGAATTAAAATAAAAAAAATAAAATAAAATAAAAATAAAAAAAAACTTACTCATGTCATATCCAACAATCCAGTCTACTTGATGTGCCGTTGATCAGGATTTGATGATTTCATTTTAAAAAATGTTTTTCATATCATTAATTGAAGATCACTAATTAACCACTAATGACGTGACACCATGTAGACTCTACTAATAATGTGATAGTTTAACTTCTTTTTTTTTTTTTTTTTTTTTTTTTTTTTTTTTTTTTTTTCTTTTTGTATCTACACTACCAGCTCATTGGAGCTGGCATTAGTGTTACCAAATTAGAACACTAAATCAGTACCGTTACATTTTATCATTAGTAACAAGTATGAATAGTATAACTCATTAAACTAATTGTATAAGGTAAGGTGATTGGTAAACCAATTGTTATTTTAAAAAATAAAAATAAAAAATTGGGATAATTTATTAACAAGTCCTCTTTTAAAGACATGTGGGCTATTTAGTTTCACAATTTTTTGTTTATATCCAAAAATCTTGTAGTGTTTTTTTTCTTCTCTACCTTCGTTCCTATCTGTCTATTTCTCTTCTTGATTTCCAGCTATTGGTGATCGACGGCCACGTTTTGTTTCTTCTTCTTCTTCTTTTTTTTCCTGATATATACTCACTGGCGACCAACAACCATTATTAACTGTGGTTCACCGGCAACCACCTACTCCTTACTTCACCCTTATCGTCTGCGAAGGAACTGAGTTTTCAGTGAAGAAGATAAGCTTGAGTAGATCTGTATCAAATCAGGCTAGATCTAAATCAAAATAGTTGTCGGAGTACAATCCCCTCTCTATATTTGTCTCCCTCATTCGATCTCTCAATTTTTTCATCTTTTTTTTGCTACACACTTCTCTTTTCCTGTTTTAATAGAGAACATTTTCAAATTCTGAACAAGTTGTTCTCAAGTTTTAGTTATAGGCGGTGAAAACTGTAAAATTTTTTAGTTTTAATTTTTTTGGTGTTACAATGAATCATGGTTTAAAAGTGTAAAATTTTAATATTCTTTAAAATTATAAAATTTTACAGTTTCATAACAAGTTTTTCAATTTGATTAATAAGAATAAATGTTTAATAAACTTTTGCGGTTTCAAAACTTACTTTTCAGTTTGATAAAAATATTGGAGATTATTATTTACTTAAATCTTACAAAAATTGAAAAATAATATATGTTTTTTTCCCCCCCATTATTGTTGTTTGTTGTTGCTACATTTTTTTTTGTCCTTTTACTTTATCAATATTTAGTACATTTTGCTATATTTTTTTCTTCTAATTTCTCTATTTATTCTTTTTTTTTTAACAATATTTTGGATATTTCGGTGAGTCTCCGACGATATTTTTAATGTTTTGAGAACGTTTTGAACATTTCGGCGATTTTCAGTGATGTTGAAAACACTGCAGCGATACTCTGACAAACTTTGGGCGATACAATGGCTACTTTCCAGTGATGCTGAACATTCCGACAAGTTTCTAATGACCGTCTGACGGAAGTCCAACGGTGGTAGGATGTAAATAAATAAATATTTTGATAACAATTAAAAATATGTATATCTAATTAGTGTAAGTATTTTATTTTGAAATTAGATAAATTTTAAACTTTGTATATGAAACTTACGGATAAGTTTCCAAAAAATTGTGAGAGTAATGTGATTGGACTGATAGAAAAACAATGGGCCACTGAAGTCAACCCCAAGCCCAACTCGCATTGGCCGAAGGATTACCGTATGCACCTCAACTTTTTAAGTTTTATTTGGAACTGTAATATTTATATATATATATATATATATATATATATATAAAATTCTGAATTATTGCTACATTTTTTACAAATCTTGACAAAATATTAACACAAGGCCTACATGAGTTGACGGAGTATTTTTTTTAATCACGAATGATATATATATATATACAAAACTTCTAAAATGAACAAATCAATTCATATGGAGCTTAAGAATCTGAAAACGGGTCTAGTTCATGCAAAAGGGCCCAACTATAAGTTTTAACATAGGAATATGGGAATTGATGGGATTAGGGGTGCGCGCGGTCCGGGTCAGTGCGGTTTGAGAGAAAAATAGAAATCGTGTGGCGGATGACGGATTGATAAAAGTGTCACTAGAATTTGTCATTTTTCTTATCAAAAACCGGCGGTTCGGTTGGCAAATAATGACGGATTTGCCTTGGCGGTTCGGGCGGATTGGCGGTTTATAAAAAATATAATTCAAATTACAAAACTTAAATCAAAGAGTAAAAAAAAGACAAGAGATACCGTGATGTTAAGCATCTTGCGAAACTTTCTTCTAATGCAGCAAGTGTAGCAACAACATGATAATATCAACGACTATGCCATCAATTCATTACAAGCATCTTTGGAAGCTATAATGATCAAATACAATACATAAAATTAATATCATTCGGGATTTACAATATATTGAAAATGTTTACTGTTGAAAAGTATTTAGATTGAAAAGTGAGTTGATGCAAGTTTGCAACATGGCCAAAAAAAAAAAAAAGATTGAAAAATGAATTGGAATCCAACTTTATTTTGGATTACTGACATCTTGAATTTCCCCTGAGCAGTAATGTAATACTAAATTCTAAGGTATAGAACAACAAGTAAATTTAAGTAAAAAAGAATTTTTAGAATCTTATAAAACATGATTCAATAGCTGTGTAGGTCGGTGCTGTTTGAAAGAAAAATAGAAACTGGCGGATTGATAAAAGTGTCAGAATTTGTCATTTTTCTTACCAAAAATCGGCGGTTCGATTGACAAATAATAACGAATTTGCCTTGATGGTGTGGTTCGGTGTGATTTTGACGGTATTATGTATATCCCTAGATGGGATGACGGAAAATTTATAAAATAAAATAAAAGTTTTAATTTTAAACCCACCCCACACCTCAAAAGACGCGTATGTGCTCATATAAGAGTCTTGCTAACGATTGGCTCAATGAGAGTTGATTAAGATATAAATAATATTTAAGAAGTTCTCTTCTTTTTCTTTTGTAACCTTCAACCTGCAAAAGAAAACAAAATAAAATATAATAGAATATTTTATTATATTTTATTATATATATAATTTGAGTGATTGAGGGTTGTGAGAGGCGTGGCTGCCTCTTTTCTCTTACTTTCTTTTCATGTTTTTCTCTCTATCTTTTTCTTCCCTTTCTTCTTTTCTTGACTTTGCCCCGCCCTTTCTTTCTCTTTCTTTACTAAAATGTATAACATTTAAGGCTTTGATGAGACACATGTTTGTTCAAATTCTGTTCATGTGCCGTAACTACAATGGATGGTTGAACCATTGCGTTTTTTCTGTGTTTTTTTAAAAAAAAATAATTGTTTGGATTTGAAAGTCTGAACAGCAATGATATAATTAAAGAGGCTAAATATTTATTTTTATGCAAAAAATACATTAAAATTAAGAATTGTACTTTAATATTTATGTGAATACTTAGGTACCGTTTGGTAACACTTACGTTTTCAGTTTTCAGTTTATATTTACAAAAATTTTAAAAACTCAAATAAAAATTTGTTTGCTAAATTTTTGATTTATAAATCAGTGGTCTTAGTTTATAAATTTGGCAAAAAAATATAAACTCAAAAAATGTGTTTCCGTTTTGAGTTTTGAATTTTTTTTTTTACCACCCAACACTAGCCACCACCTGCCACTAGGGGTGTGCGCGGTGTGGGTCGGTGCGGTTTGAGAGAAAAATAGAAACCGTATGGCGGATGACGGATTGATAAAAGTGTCACTAGAATTTGCCATTTTTCTTATAAAAAATCGACGGTTCGGTTGGCAAATAATGACGGATTTGCCTTGGCGGTTCGGGCGGATTGGCGGTTTATAAAAAATATAATTCAAATTACAACACTTAAATCAAAGAGTAAAAAAATGACGAGAGATACCGTGATGTTAAGCATCTTGAAAAGTGAATTGGAATCCAACTTTATTTTGGATTATTGACATCTTGAATTCCCCTCGAGCAGTAATGTAAT